AACAAGCCATAGGAACTTGTTTGACCTCGTTCGCCCAACTACGCCGCCGTTGACGCTTGTTTGTGCGTTGCATGCCTGGAATCTGTGCAAAGATGGGCCGGTGCGGAACATGTCACCGTTCCGTCATTTGGTTGCTGTTTTTAGCTCCGTTTCTTCGCACTTTTTCCTAGTAGGAGCAATTACCAAGCCATAGGAACTTGTTTGACCTCGTTCGCCCAACTATGCCGCCGTTGACGCTTGTTTGTGCGTTGCATGCCTGGAATCTGTGCAAGGATGGGCCGGTGCGAAACATGTCACCGTTTCGTCATTTGATTGCTGCTTTTAGCTCCTTTTATTCGCACTGTTTCCTAGTAGGACCAATTACCAAGCCATAGGAACTTGTTTGACCTCGTTCGCCCAACTACGCCGCCGTTGACGCTTGTTTGTGCGTTGCATGCCTGGAATCTGTGCAAGGATGGGCCGGTGCGGAACATGTCACCGTTCTGTCGTTTGGTTGCTATTTTTAGCTTCGTTTCTTCGCACTGTTTCCTATTAGGACCAATTACCAAGCCATAGGAACTTGTTTGACCTCGTTCGCCCAACTACGCCGCCGTTGACGCTTGTTTGTGCGTTGCATGCCTGGAATCTGTGCAAGGATGGGCCGGTGCGAAACATGTCACCGTTTTGTCGTTTGATTGCTGCTTTTAGCTCCGTTTCTTTGCATTGTTTCCTATTAGGACCAATTACCAAGCCATAGGAACTTGTTTGACCTCGTTCGCCCAACTACGCCGCCGTTGACGCTTGTTTGTGCGTTGCATGCCTGGAATCTGTGCAAGGATGGGCCGGTGCGGAACATGTCACCGTTCCGTCATTTGGTTGCTGTTTTTAGCTCCGTTTCTTCGCACTGTTTCCTAGTAGGAGCAATTACCAAGCCATAGGAACTTTTTTGACCTCGTTCGCCCAACTACGCCGCCGTTGACGCTTGTTTGTGCGTTGCATGCCTGGAATCTGTGCAAGGATGGGCCGGTGCGGAACATGTCACCTTTTCAATGGATGGTCGTATTTTTTAGCCCTATTTATTCTCACACTCCTATAGTAGGACCCAGTACCTTGCAAATGAACCTGATTTGGGCTCATACGCCCAACGTCGCAGCTTGCGACGCTTGATTGTGCGTTGGATCGTTGGACTTTAAGCACGGATAGGTCCGGTGGCATCATGTTTTGCGTTCAAACTCAAATGTTCTCCACGTCCATTTAGGCTAACTTAATCCCAACTTCAAGTGCCAGTTTCTTAATTTGTAGACACCGGTATTCAGGACCTTGATTCAATAGTGAGAGAAGGTGGTTTATTGTTCGTGGAATTTGCAGTTACAGTTCAACATGGGTCGTTACTCAATGTAGTCAGCACTTAATATCGCGTCCCGGGTTACACCTACACAACACGCTAAGTCCTGCTCATTTCCGCAGCTGTGCCTCGCTGTCGCAACTTCACGAGGCATGGTTGTCATCGACCACGCTGACGCGGCAGAAAGAATGGTTGTTCACGGCGCCCGAATCAGCTGTGACTCCTACATGTAAATCTGCCGAACCTGGCAGGCAGCACGGCGGGGACGTTGACCGGACGTGCACCAAACCACCCAGTACCCACAAAGTGGTGCACGTTCGGGTTCTTCCCCTCCAATCCACCCTCCTCATCCTCCTCAACGCCCCCTCTGCGATCCCCCTCGACAGTTCAAACTGAAGTTTGAAATTTCAAACTTCAAACCCCACCCTCCTTCCACCACTTCAATCTCCCTCACCCATCCCCCTCGTTACCGCCACACATCGTTATTGGCATCAATCGGGGCATCAAGCAGGCCCCCACCGTATCTCGTCGCGATGCGTAGGCAAGGTAAGAGATGATGTTCCATGCGTCTCTCCTACGAGCTTTTCGTATAAATAGCCTTAGTTGCTGGAGTGTTGCTATCATCTACTCCATCACTAGCGATTTAGTACTTATAGCTTTTAGTAGCTAATTATGGGCCGTGCTCGTTCATTCAGCGTTCCCGCTAGTATGCAGATGGCGGAACCGTTACGGACTTCCATTCCGCGCAAGAGCAAGGACAATCATGCTTTTTTTCCAGCTAACAAAGGTAAGCGCTCTCTGTGGTTTGTGCTTTTTAATTTATGGTCACCTTGTATCAACTTCTGTGTTTTAACTACCTTGTTCTTCTTTCCCAGACGGTGATACTCTCGACGCAGCCATGACTGGCGCTCGATCTGGCAAACGCGGCTCCAACCGTCAAGGCGAGCGAGCCCACGGTGTCAAACGTGCTGCGGTCTTGGGAAAGTCAAGTGCTGCCGCCGCATCACCGACTACCACTGCCGATCCTGCTCCATGCGCTGCCATTTCTGCTCATGCCGCTGCCGATCCTGCGCCTGCCGCTGCCGATCCTGCTCCTGCCGCTGCCGATCCTGCTCCTGCCGCTGCCGATCCTGCTCCTGCCGATGCTGACCCTAATCCTGTCGCGGTGGGTGTAGCTACTGCCACTGCAGATGCTGAGGAGGAAGAAGAGGGCGAGCTCTTCGGGGATGTAATCGCGCAACCGCTTCAGGGGAACGGCCAACGTGGTAAGCTTTGACGCGCATTCTGGTCGTGTGCCCAACTTTTTTGTTTACTTACCTCTGTTCCTCCGTGCCATGCAGGCCTCACCCTCTATGCCCGTACCATGAAGCAGGCGGGCGTTAATCCCAGTCCAGAGGCCGATGCGTTTCATCCCGAATCGCGCCCAAACAAGGTCAATCAGAGCCTTTGTGCGCAGGCCGCCATTGCTCGCGAGCATGTCGAGTTGCTGCAGACCGACTGCAAGACCAAGGACGTGCAGATCCTGAAGGCTCTTGGCATCGCCGGATCTCTCGCTGATGCTGTGCTCCTGCAGAAGATTGTCAGCCTAGATTTCGAGGTGAGTTTCTTTCATACGCTTTCGTTTTAAACTGATGGGTGTCTTCTGTTCACTCCGGTTTATACCCTGACGAGTGTTTTTTGTTGCTATTGCAGAGAATGATGTCGGAAACCGTCAACGATTTCCTCTTCGACGGCGACCACATGAACATGGCGCCGAAGAGGAGTGATGTTGTTGAACGTTTAGTCGGTAAGAAGGCGAGTCGTGTTTCTTCTGCTATTGCTCCGATTTATGTTTCTGACTGCCGCCCGTTCTTTTACTTCGCACAGCACATGCAGGTTTCACATGGGGCAGCGATGAGGCTTCGAGGCTGGTGGCGCACATGAAAGACAAGGACATCGTCAAAAAGACAGAGAAGCGGTTCAACAACCGCATTGGCAAGATCCACGGAGGTTGCAGGAGGAGCTTGCGGTTGGTACGGGGCGCGCGGCTGTTCGTGATTAAGCGTGCTCCGAATGGCACCATCCGAGCTGTGGAGCCAGACGATTTCGCCGCCCGATGCCATGCTTACGTGGCTGTGTATGGCAGCAGTAAGTCTTTACCCGTGTTTACCTTTGTAAACTCTCTTTAGTCTTGTTTTCAGCAACTCAACATAAGTGTTGAGTTTTTTAAACAGTGACATAATAAAGCAGCCTGTACTTACTCTGTCATTATTGCCCGTTCTTTGCTTTGTGGCTTGTCACAGGGCTGAAAGGCATAGAGTGGCACCTGCTTAATGGCCACCATTTTTCCAGCCCAGCGTTCATGGCGTGTGCGCGCGTGTTTGTGACAGAGGAAGACCCAGACCGCCCGCTTGGGATCTATGCGGCACAGTATTGATTCTGGCAGTTGTGAGTCTAATTGCATCTGTAATGCAAACTTTTCTACTCTATGTTCTGTCTTACAGGCTCGTGTTGTGTTGTTGAATGTGTGCAGGTCCGTTTTAAGCTACGTCACCCCACTTGCAACAAGCTTCAGCTTGGTCGCTCTAGTGATACTCTCGCCATCTCCAGACAAGCGCGCATTGTGCAGCGCTATATCAACAGCATGGGCCGGACTGAGGGTGACTTCATAGGCATAGGGCGCACCTGTTTGGCGCAGTGGGTGACCATCCCCCAAGAGGCTCTGGATGCTGATCTCCTGGGGGATGAGGATGCAGAGGATGAGTTAGATGAAGATGAGGTGGTAGACGAGGATTCTGAAGATGAATCCTGAAAATGGATTTTGTATGCATTGCATTTTTATTTATGCGTGTTTTTATAATGACTGGTTTTATTACGAAAATATCCATATTCCGCTATTTAGGTCCCCAGAACGCATTTAGAATTGTACGCCCTAGAATTTATAATTCTACATGTTACTGGTTTTGAGTGTACTCTAGTAACTAGGGTTACCAGTTGAAGATAACTTTGATTTTGTAACATACATTGAACTGTACCCTGGTAACACGGGTTACGGATGTAACAGTAACAAGAAATGAGTAACCCCTGAGCTACAGTATCGCCGCTTCGGTCGCGAAGTGATCCGTTGTGAACAAACTTCGGTTTGCGTAAGAGCACAATGTTTTAGCGATGTTAATTCTTAATCTGTTAAGTGGGGTGCTATGCTACAATGACGAGTCCCTCTATGAAGAATAGTCACACCTCGAATCATTCACAATTGTTTTAGAACAACCCGAAAATCTCGACCTGGAAAAAAAAACGTACCGAACCCTTATCACGCAATCGGCTATGTACACTAGTTGCGCGCTTTGGGAAATGGCGAGTTCGATTGTGGAGTGAAACCTGGGGTTGGGAATGATGCCGCGTGGAATGTCGAAATCAACCTGCAGGTGACACGCTGTAAGTGTGTATTGCAACACGCCAATCCCAGGCATCGCGAAAAAACTCCCAGCGATGCCTATCAAACATCAAGCCACTGGATGGCATGCTGTTTGACACCCAGGTATAGGTTCCGACGCTAGTCGCGTTACCTTCACGCCATTGGTCACTCGAAGCTTTAGTGGGGGGTAAGGGGGCGTAAAACTGCATTCACTGGTATAACTACATCCCGTGCACTGTTCGACCACCTACGAAAGCGTCCTCTGAAAAACCCGCCGGCATGTCCGCCGCAGCCGACGGCGGCGACGCCGCCGCCGCCGCTGTGCTGCCACCTGTCATCCGGCGGTTGGACGAGGCGGTGGTGAACCGCATCGCGGCGGGCGAGGTGATCCAACGGCCGGCGTCGGCCGTGAAGGAGCTGGTGGAGAACAGCCTGGACGCGCGCGCGCGGAGCGTGGGCGTGGTGGTGAAGGACGGCGGGCTCAAGATGATGCTCATCACGGACGACGGCCATGGCATCCGCGTGAGTGCTGGGGGGAGGAGGTGAGTTCTGGTGGTGGGGGAAAAGAATGCGTGTGGTCCGGGTGAGTGGCGTGGGCGTGGTGGTGAAGGACGGCGGGCTCAAGATGATGCTCATAACCGACGACGGCCATGGTGTCCGCGTGAGTTGCGCGGGAGGGCGGTGGGGTGAGCGTGTGCGTGGTTTCGGGGTGAGGGTGAGGGGTGGCGTCAAGGCGTGAGGTGCATGTGACACGCAGCGACGACCTGTGACGTGCAGCGGCTCATGAAGCGCGCATCATGGCGCAAGACTACACGTCATGATGCATCGGGACAAGTAGAGGCAAACTCTTGGCACAGCAGGACCATGTCTTTGACACTTGCTCACTCTCTGTCCTCTCAAGCCATTCCACACACAGCTCTCAACCACAGCCTGCGCACGTGAGAATGCTGGGCACATTGCATCTAAGCCATGAGCTTCCCGACCGTCCCAGCGCATCTCGTCCTCTCAAAATCCCCCATCTATGCCTCCTTCCTTCTCCATCTCTCCCCTTCTCCCTTTCTCCCCTCTCCCTGCTCCCCTCTCCCCCTCTCCCCCTCTCCCCCTCTCCCCCTCTCCCCTCTCCCCTCTCCCCCTCTCCCCCTCTCCCCCTCTCCCCTCTCCCCTCTCCCCTCTCCCCCTCTCCCCCTCTCCCCTCTCCCCTCTCCCCTCTACCCTCCCCACCCCCCTAGCCGGAGGACCTACCGATCCTGTGTGAGCGGCACACGACATCGAAGCTGAGGGCGTTTGAGGATCTGGAGAGCATGGCCACGCTGGGCTTCCGCGGGGAGGCCCTCGCCAGCCTCACCTTTGTCTCGCACCTCACCGTCACCACCATGACCGCTGGCCAGACGCACGGCTTCAGGTGCGCCGCTTCAAGGGGTGCTGAAGGGTGCAGGGTGGGGAATCATGGGTGAAACTCGTGGGTGCGTACTTGCTACAGGTTGCGCTTTGAAGGTGATGTGACGTCGCGCACCTCACCGTCACCACCATGACCGCTGGCCAGACTCACGGCTTCAGGTCAGCCGCCTCGCCGGCTGCTGAAGGGTGCTTGGTGGGATTGGTGGGTGCGCACTTGCTGAAGGCTGTGCTGTGAAGATGTTGGCTGTGGCGAGAGTAGAGGCGACCGTCTGGGAGGTCTTTCAGCAGCATTTCGGTGCGAGGCAGCATGAGTGCTCGGGTGGGGTTGCTGCAGTCAGGTGGACCAGAGGCATCACCGCGGTGCAGATTCGCTCTGCCTCTCCTTGCCCACCCACTTGGGTTGGTACCGGGACGGTGAGCTGCATTGCGAGGCGGCGCAATGTGCGGCGATGGAGGGCACACATGTGAGGCAGGGCCACCTCTCCTTCAACGTGCCATTTCCTTCATGTCAACTCAAATTAAACTCCTCCGCCTCTCCCCTCCCCACCCACCCGGCAGGGCGCAGTATCGGGACGGCGAGCTGAAAGGCGCAGCAGAGGCGTGTGCAGCAGTGCAGGGCACGCAGGTGCTGGTGGACGACCTCTTGTTCAACGCGCCTGCCTTTCCCTTCCACTCAAGTCTTATCCCCTCTGCCTCTCCTCGCATCCGCCAGGGCGCAGTACCGGGACGGGGAGATGCAGGGCGCGGCAGTGGTGTGTGCGGCGGTGCAGGGCACGCAGGTGCTGGTGGACGACCTCTTGTTCAACGTGCCTGCTCTTCCTGTGGCTCAGAAGTCCTCCACCTCTCCCCACCCACCCCACAGGGCACAGTACCGAGACGGTGAACTGGAGGGGCCCCCAGTGGCGTGTGCGGCGGTGCAGGGCACGCAGGTGGTGGTGGACGACCTGTTCTTCAACGTGCCTGCGCGGCGCAAGGCCTTCCGCAGCCACAGCGAGGAGTACGCGCGCATCCTCGACGTGCTCAGCCGCTTTGCTATACACAACTATGACGTGTGCTTCTCCTGCAAGAAGGTGAGCCACGGGTGCCTGCTGCTCACGCGTGCTCAGCCTCCTCCTCCTCCTCCTCGTCGCTCTGCTCTCTCCACGCGCACGCTTTCCCCCTATCCCGCACTCATTTCTCTCTCCCCGTCTCCCCGTTTCACCAGATTTGTTTCGCCCGTTATCCCACAATCTCCCACGTCTTTCCTTTCTACCCTTCGGTACAGTGCGAGAGGCCAGCACCCCTGGTGCTCCCATCCCAGGTGTGCCCTCTTGTGCATCCCATCCTTCCTCTTGCTTCCTTTCTCCCCGTTCCTTCTCTTCGTGTCTCTTCTCATGGCAGTACGGTGAGGCACGCACCGACCTCTTCACTCCTGGTGCTCCCAAGCAGGAAGCAAGGGCAGGTGGGAAGAAACGGCGGAGAGGGAAAGATAATGGAAAGGGCTTGGGCGTGGAGAGCAGTGCTGAAGGGAGAGCTGAAGGGGGTGGCGAGGCAGGGGAGGGGGAGCGGACAGAAGGAAAGGAAGAGGCGATGGAGAAGGGGGAGGAGGAGACGGAGGATGATGAAGAGGATGAGGAGGAGGCGGAGGCAGAGCGCAGGAGGAGACAAGTGGAGGCGGTGCGAGCTGTGTATGGCGCTGCTGTGGCCCGCGACCTCATTCCCATTGCGGCCAGGCGCGGGGGATGGGGGGAGAAAGAGGGCGCTCGGGGAGAGGGAGAGGGGGTGGGGGAGGGAGAAGGCGAAGGTGGGGAAGGTGGTGGGAGTGACGACGGGGGCAGAGGCGACGGCGTGCAGTTCTCGATGAGGGGGTTGATCTCGTCGGCGAATTATAGTGCCAAGAAGACCACGATGGTGCTCTTTATCAACAGTACGCTCAACCTTTCGTGCTCGCCCTCCTCCCTCTCCCGGACCCCCACCTCCCCCCCCTCCCTGTTCCGCCTCCCCTCACTCCGCAACACCTCCGTTCCTCTTTCATGCACAAACATGTGCACACACTCGATTATCAGTGCAGCTCGCAAGTCAACTCAAAACATACCCACCCTGCTCCCATCTGCATTCTCGTTTACCCCTCAATGTCAATGCACCTGACACCCCTTTTGCCTGCCTATCCCTCCGCTCTCCCCATTGCCCCCCTCCGCCCACCCCTGCATCAGACCGACTGGTGGAGTGTTCACCACTGCGCAAGGCGTGTGAGGCCACGTATGCAGCCATCCTGCCCAAGGCGGCGCGCCCCTTCCTCTACCTCGCTCTCTCCCTGCCGCCCCACCACGTGGACGTCAACGTGCACCCCACCAAGCGAGAGGTACCGCCTCCTACGACTGTGTCACCACATGCAGGCGATGGTTTGACTGTTCACCCGCCTTCCTCTGCCGTTCACCCTCATTTCCCTGCCGCCGCACCACGTGGACGTCAACGTTCACCCCACCAAGCGAGAGGTGCCCTCCCGTTCCTCTGCTCTCCACTCCTCTTGCCTTTGCCACCCACCCTCTTCCTCTGCCGCCCACTCCCCTTCCTCTGCCGCCCACTCCCCTTCCTCTGCCGCCCACTCCCCTTCCTCTGCCGCCCACTCCCCTTCCTCTGCCGCCCACTCCCCTTCCTCTGCCGCCCACTCCCCTTCCTCTGCCGCCCACTCCCCTTCCTGCCGCCCACTCCCCTTCCTCTGCCGCCCACTCCCCTTCCTCTGCCGCCCACTCCCCTTCCTCTGCCGCCCACTCCCCTTCCTCTGCCGCCCACTCCCCTTCCTCTGCCGTCTACCCCCATCTTCTGCCACCAAGTGAGAGGTGTGCATTTCAGGCAGACACACCGGCCAGGTCCGATCAACGTACTGCCTTTCCCCATGACTGCGCGGTGTGGACTCACGCATTACTGCCTGGTGGGAGTTCACACCGCACTTCTCCCCACAGACCGCGCCCGCTGCACCCTCCACCCCGCCTGCTGCCCTCACCCCAACACATAGGTCCCACCCTGCAGTGCCTGCTAGCCGTCACAGGACGTGCCTGTGGTAGCAGTGAGTGAGTGGGCGCCCACTCATACTTCCAAACCCCCAGCCCTCCTATCCCCTTCGCCTTCGTACAATCACATCTTTGTTTCCATCAGTACCAACCAGGTGGGGAGAGTGAATGCAGGCAGACAAGGTGGCAGCAGCGGTGCAGGTGGCAGTTGTGGAGCACCCTCTTCTCCCAGCACACTCGCATGGCGCAGCATGCAGCATCCTGCATGCTTCCTTTCTAAGCACAACCGCAAACCCACCCCTTGCACTTCTACACTCTCTCGTATACACACTCCCCCATGCACGCACACCAGGTGGGATTCCTGAATCAGGACGAGGTAGTGGCATCTCTTGAGGCGCCTCTAAACTCTTCAACACTCCCTTTCCATGCACACACACAAACACACACGCACACACAAACACACACACACACACGCACACGCACACACACACACACACACGCACAAACACACACACGCACACACACACGCACACACAAACACACACACACACACGCACACACACACGCACACACACACACGCACACGCACACACACACACGCACACACACACACACGCACACACACACACACACACACACACACGCACACACACACACACGCACAAACACACACACGCACACACACACGCACACACAAACACACACACACACGCACACACACACACACACGCACACACACACACACGCACACACACACGCACGCACACACACACACACACGCACACACACACACGCACACACACACACACGCACATACACACACACACACACACACGCACACGCACGCACACACACACACGCACAAACACACACAAGCACACACACACGCACACACAAACACACACACACACACACGCGCACACACACACACACACACACACACACACACACACGCACGCACACACACACACATGCACGCACGCACACCAGGTGGGCTTCTTGAACCAGGACGAGGTGGTGGCAGCGGTGCAGCACGCAGTGCAGCAAGCCATCCTCTCCTCCAACCACACACGAACCTTCTACACCCACTCCAACCTCCTCGCCGCCTCCACCCCTCCCCTCAAACCCCCTGCCGGTGCTGCTGCTGACCCGTCCAGCCCAGCTGCAGCAGCCTCCTCGCCTGCCACCAAGCCCCGGCCCCCCAAGCACGCCTCGCCCGGTATGCCCCTTCTGCCTTGTCACTCGTAACCTGTGAGCCCTGTGTCCCTCCTGCTCTCACTTGAGCTTCCTCCAACCGTCCCTACAAGCCTTTTGTGCCAGTCCAGTACGTGCATCCCAACTTGTGCCCCTTTCTCGCATGTCTTCTCCTTTTCTCGCCTCGCCGGCGCGGTCATTCCATTAGTAGGTCCCACCGAAGGAAGGAAGGAAGGTCAAGCGACTGTCATCTGCAGAGGAGGCGCCCCACGTGTCTCAGTTCCATGCTGCTTTGTCTCCTCCCCTCCCCTCCCCTCCCCTCAGTCTCTCCATCGGCCATCTGCCTGCCGAAGCCCCTTCCCCACTTGCACCAATGCCACAAGCCCAGCCAGTCTGGCTCCCCGTGTTACCTTGTTGCCGTGTCACCTTACCAGGTTCCGAAGTATGCACCCATCATACCTTACCACTTCATCTGATACCCTTTCGCCCGGTCAGCATGGAACCATGTACTAAATGCCCTGCCTTTCCACTGCCGCCGTATCTCCCCGTCTCCCCCCCAACCCCCCCGTCTCCCCCCCACCCTCACCAGCATCCCTGAGGCCGCCAGAGCATCGTCTCGTGCGCACGGATGCACGAATCCCAGCAGGCCGCCTCCACGCCTTCTTCTCCCACCGCCCCTCCTCCTCACAGCCCTCCTCTTCCCAGCCATTGCCTTCACTATCCCAGCCACTGCTGTCCCAACAACCACTGCACTCTCAACCACTCCTTGCCCAGTCCCCCTCCTCCCAGCCCTCTTGTGCTCCCGCCGCCTCTCCACTTGATTCGGCCTCGCAACGTGCAAGAGGCGTGGAGGGAGGAGAGGAGGAGGAGGAGGGGCGCGAGGAGTTTGGAGGACAGGGAGTGGGGTCGGATGGTGGGGGAGAGGGGGAGACGTGTGCGGATTTAGTGGAAACGGCGAGCAGAGAAGAAGAGGAGGGTGGGCATGCGGAGAAGCAGGGAGCGAGGGAGAGACGGGACGTTGAGGAAGCAGACCAAGTGGTGGCTCCGCAGCAAGGGAGGATAGGGAGCGCAGCGGCTGTGGCAGGGCCCTGTGTGGATGGATCAGGTGCAGCAGGTGCAGAAGGTGTGGCAGCTCCGTGTGTGCAGCTACAGGCGGGACTGGTTGGTAGCAGTGAGCAGGCGGCAGGGGATAGCTTGGCGGCCACAAGGTGTGTGGGGCAGGACGAGGGCACTGGGGTGGGCTTGTTTCCTCTCTCCTCCCTGCACATGTTTATCGCAACTGTCGTGCTGCCTTTCCACTTCCTCGCTATTGCTTTCCCGTTCAACTGGCCCTGTTTGCATGTTCCTCCTTTCAGTTTGCCACTCTGCATCCTCTCCTGACCTTCGCGTTCACCCTTCCTGCGCCCGTTCGTTGACCATTGCCGATTGGTGCAAGCAGGCAGGCGGTGAGGAAGAGGAGGAGTCTCAAGGGGGCAGCTGCAGGGGCAGGAGGGGCGCGAGGGGTGGGAGGAGTGGGAGGAGAGGAGCGGCTGACAAGCGTGGAGGAGCTCATGGAAGGGATCTCTGCACGCACACACACAGGTGCGATGCTGCTGCTGTTGCAAATTGTGATCTCATCTCACGGCACAAGCTGAGCTCACCCTGCCCCGTCCCGTCACCCAGTTGAGCAGAACAGAGCCAAGCGATTCCAGCAAAGCCGGGGTAATGATCTTGAGACAAGCGGGGTGACTTCGGCGCAAGCCTGCCGGCTCATGAGTCATCCTTGGCTCACTCGCCAGGGCTTAGCCTGGCAGGTCTGATGGATGGATGTAAGAATGAGTGATTGCTGCCAGCGCGCCCCTCATGTGGGTACGATGGGGCTCGGAACATGTATGATTCCCAGTGCGTGGCCAGCTTGCCATGTGGTGAGAAGCAGAGGCTGGAAAGCATCCTCTTGTCCCTCCTCCTCTTCTCCCCACCCCACCCGCTGCTGGTTGCAGCCCTGTCGGCTCTGCTAGCGGACTGCACGTATGTGGGCATGGTGGACGACAGGCGCATGCTGCTGCAGCACTCCACCTCGCTCTATCTTGTTGACGCTGTCAGCATCAGGTGCGATGGGTGCGCACTAGGTGGGATGGGATGTGAGCATCAGGCTGGCTATCATCATTACGTGTGAGTCTGAACGTCATCACGTGTGAGTCTGAACTGCCATGGGCAGCTCTTCCCCTGGCGTTGCAGCAAACATTGTGACTACTGTTCTTATGCTGCGAGCTTTAACCCGACCATGCACCTTGTTAAACCGAGCAACATGTGACAGTTCACTTTCCATACTTACCATACCTTGCCATCACCTGCACGCTATCACACCGTGCCTTAATTTTCTGGCTACACCGCACTGCTCCCCTCGGCAGCAAGGAGCTGATGTGGCAGCAGGCGATTCGCCGCTTTGCGCGCTTCACGTGCATGACGCTGCACCCGCCCCCACTGCTCGCCGACCTGCTGCTGCTGGCGCTGCAGGAGGAGGAGCGGGCGGGCGGGCGCACAGGGGCTCATGGGTGCAAGCAGGAGATGGTGGAGGTGAGTCACAATCGAGCGAGGGTGATTGTGATTCACATGCAGCCACCGTGCGGCTCCGACACCGGGCCCTCCTGCTGGGATCTCTCAGCCATCACAACATCTATGTGTCCTTGTTTCCTCCTCTCCTCTCCTCTCCTCTCCTCTCCTCTCCTCTCCTCTCCTCTCCTCTCCCCTCCCCTCCTCTCCTCTCCTCTCCTCTCCTCTCCTCTCCTCTCCCCTCCTCTCCTCTCCTCTCCTCTCCTCTCCTCTCCTCTCCTCTCCTCTCCTCTCCTCTCCTCTCCTCTCGTCTCCTCTCGTCTCCTCTCGTCTCCTCTCGTCTCCTCTCCTCTCGTCTCCTCTCCTCTCCTCTCGTTTCCTCTCCTCTTCTTCTCTCCTCTCCTCTCCTCTCCTCTCCTCTCCTCTCCTCTCCTCTCCTCCTCTCCTCTCCTCTCCTCTCCTCTCCTCTCCTCTCCTCTCCTCTCCTCTCCTCTCCTCTCCTCTCCTCTCCTCTCCTCTCCTCTCGTCTCATCTCCTCTCGTCTCCTCTCCTCTCGTCTCGTCTCCTCTCCTCTCCTCTCGTCTCCTCTCCTCCTCTTCTCTCCTCTCCTCTCCTCTCCTCTCGTCTCCTATCCTCTCCTCTCCTCTACTCTCCTCTCCTCTCCTCTCCTCTCCTCTCCTCTCCTCTCCTCTCCTATTCCATCCTCTCCTATTCCATCCTCTCCTATTCCATCCTCTCCTCTTCTCTCCCTTCCTCTTCTCTCCTCTCCTTGCATTCTACTCGTGCTGGTGCCGCCTCTGCCTCGTCCTTGCCTCTCCACACCCCGCACGTCATCACAACGCAGTGTGTCCCACTCGACTCACATGCCATGCCTCTCACACCACAATACTTCCCATCCACCTCCCATCCAACCTCAGTCGCCCCAAAGCTCACCTCTCTTCCAAGACAACTTCCCGGTCTGCTGGAGCTGAGTGTCGTGCCAGGCTGCCAGAATAGACACACACTTATCTGACGCTGAATTTTGCTTTTTGTCACACTCTTCTCACTCATCTGAGTCGGCCCTTCTCCCTTCCCCCTCACACCGCTCACCATGCATCAGTGCACCTGCTCCAGCCCAACGCAGGGCCACTATCCAGATGTTTCCAAGGTGTTCCCACTCACTGATCCCTCCGCTTCCTCTTCCCTCCCCCCACCTCCGTCCCCACTTCCCCTGCGTGCACCAGGCGTGGGTGCAGGCGGTGCAAGGCAGGGCGGAGATGCTAGCAGAGTACTTCGCCCTCACCGTCTCCCCGGACGGCCATCTGCTCTCGCTGCCCCTGCTGCTCGACCACCACACGCCCGACCTCACGCGCCTGCCATCTCTCGCGCTCGCTCTTGCCAATGAGGTGCACGCGAGTCTCGCCATTTTGCTTGCTCCACTGCCTCACTGCTCACGCTGCCTCACTGCTCCACTGCCTCACTGCTCCACTGCCTCACTGCTCCACTGCATCACTGCTCCACTGCCTCACTGCTCACGCTGCCTCACTGCTTCGCGAGTGTCATCCCCAGCCTCCTCCGGTCTTTCGCTCGCGTGCCCCTTCCCTGGATTTTGTCTGCACCGCGCATGATCACTCACTCACACTCACCCTCTCCCTCACTGCTTTCACACTCTCCTGCATGGATCGAATTCCTGCATTTTCCTGTTCCTCCTCACCATGGTCTGTCCACGCGTGCAGGTGGAGTGGGACGAGGAGAAGGCCTGCTTTGCCTCCCTGGCTGCTGCACTGGCCGACTTCTTTGCTTTCCATGCGCCGCTGCTGCCCCGCCCCTCCGCCAACCAGCAAAGAAAGGACACGAATGGCGAGGAAAGGGAGGGAGGTGGGCAGGTGAGGGGAGAGGAGGACGGGGATGCGAGCAAGGAATGGAAAGTGCGGGGTTCAGAAGAGGCTGGGGATGAGGAGAGTGCTCGGGGCGGTAGGGGGGCTGATGTGGCTGCATCGACAGCTGCTGTGACTATAGCAGGCGGGGGTGAAGTGGGAGTGAGCGAGGAAGGTGGGAGTGAGGAGGGGATGAGTGAGGTGGAGGTGGAGGCGATGTGGCGGCAATGGGAGTGGAGCATTCAGCATGTGCTGCTGCCCGCACTCAAGTTCTTCCTCAAGCCACCCAAGCGCATGGCCAGGGATGGCAGCTTCATCAAGGTGAGACGCTATCGCCTTGCTCTGCTGCCATTGGGCAAGCTAGGGATGAATGGTATTCCTTCATTCTTCTGCGGTCCCATTTGTTGGAATTAACCACAGCACCATAGCATGCTTTTGCAGCAGTTATTGTGTTTGCGGTGACACGTGCGTGTGTGGCCTTCTGAAACTGACTGCCGTATCGTTCCTGGTTTGTTGTGGCTGCAGATAGCGTCACTTGAGAACCTCTACAAGATTTTTGAGCGCTGCTGAGTGTTCCACTTGTACAGTGCATAAACAAGGTATACCTAGTGATTTCCAAGTGTACATATACCGTATCACACATACCTAGCTGCCAGTTATTGTGCATGAGAGCAAGCACTATATTCCGGTATTACCGTACCATTACCAGAGTCTTGGCAAAGTCATGATCGTACTTGCTGAGTGTAAGCTTGTGCAAGCTGGGCCTTACGGTCCTGTAAACCACCACAGTAGTGCAGAAAAGGAACACCAGCAACTTAGCGCTAAACAAGCACCAAAAGCATTGAAATGCGCACAGCAAGCCGACCTCACCTCCACCTCCCTAATGAAGTCCACAGCAGAAGCTAACATCGTCGCCATGTCTGTTCGGGATGACAGGTTTGACTTATGTTTCTGGCGCATCCACGAGGGAGGCAGAACCTTTTCAAGCCGCTTGAATCCGGCACTGCCGAACAGTACATGGGGGGCAGCAGAGGCACAAGATAACCATCTTAATCTTTGACAAACCAATTCGTGATAAGAACAGTTAAACCAATTCGCACAAAGTTGTGTTTACCTGATTCGGTGTCTTCTAAGCTTCTCTGCAGCGCTCCAGCGTTGAATAGGCGGGCGCTCCAAGCCCAGCCCACTGCCATCCACTTGGTCCTTCTGGGTTGGCTGTGCAAGATCTGCTGCCTGGGCTGCCCCTTGTGAAGCCACTGACAATGCCGACAATGGATCCAACACTCTTGCCCCTTCAGTCGCAGCAGCAGGTGGATGGCTCACAGCAGCAGAGCCGGCGATGCGTACGGTAGATCCAACGGCAGGGATTGGAGCTAGCTGTGCCCAGGAGGATAGTGGAGCAGACGCTTGACTGCCGGCTGCGGGAGAGACTGACCTGGTAGAACCATTGTCAGGGCGCTTGAAACCCACTCCATCACCACCCACCACCAAACACTGCTTCTTCTGAGGCTGCATGGCCGAGGCCTCAGCAATCGAATTGTTGCCCCACCAGGTGGCAGAACCCTTGAGCTTGAATCTTCCCGACACAACCACGTCATTCGACGCTCCGTTTTGTAGTTGACCCAACAGCATGGCTGGGGCCTCAACAATCGAATCACCACCACCCCACCAGGTGGCGGAACCCTTGCGCTTGAATCCTCCCAATGCAATCATGTCGTACAGGGTTCCCTCACGGGTTGGTGCTGGGGTTTCGCCTCGCGTGCTACATCCTGACGATTGCGCCCGTGTTGCTTGCGCTGTTCTCAGCGATAGTGGCGCTTCCTGTTGGAGAAAATGAGACTGAAAAGTCGCACTGGGCACGTTCACAGACAATGTAGCAGGAGCAGCAGCAGAGGCAGCAGGGGAAGGAGGAGGAGCGGGAATGGCACCCCGAGTGCTCAGCAGCAGCGAGTGGATGAGACGATGGGGTGCAGAAGGTGCTGCCATACGTTGTCGAGGCGGCTCACAGATGGCCATGCAGTAGCAGCTGGAGTGATCAGCACCGGATGGGTCTGATGACGGGCTGAAGCAGGCGCTGGAGTAGATTTCTGAGGAGACTCACACATAGGCAGTGCGGCAGCAGGTGAAGTCACCGCAACAGGTGACTTTGCCTCCATCTGCGTGAAACTTAGATCGACTAGTGAAGGCTGGGTCAGCATGCGGCTGACGTATCCTCCGCTTTCTGAGATGCTGACATTCGTCATGGCTCCCACATGGAGCAATCCGACCTCAGAAATCGACGCCATGACATTATCAGGCCAAGCTTCCACCTGGAACGAATCAAGCACTGTCTCTGCAGCTCTGCTGTGCGTGACGCATGGCGGCAGCGATTGTTTTGTGGAACGGGACGTCTGCTCGGCCGTGCGGGCTCCCAATGGCAGTCGAGCAGCGGCAGGTTCCCATTCAGTCGCTCCTGCGGTCCGCTGCACCTTCTCCCCCGTTTCGTTCGCCTTCCAGGAGATGTGTACTCCGTCGCAGTCCGCGGGACACTTTGACGAGCACTGCAAGTCAAGAAACGGCAGCGGGACCGCGCTGCTAGGGTCCTCCATGGCTGTGGTGGTATCAGTGGACTGTTCACACGATCTGGATGAAAAAAAAAAAAGCAGTAACTTCTCAAATGGTCTACGGATGCACTAGCTGGTGACTTACTCAAGAAGGATTACCACTTCTATAAGTAGCAGCCTTAAAACCAGAGTCTCACGTAAGGAAAACTGTCATCAACTGCATAACAATTGATGCTGAGTCACCCTGTTTGAGGTGGCGAAGTCTAGGGATTGGTCTGGCAATTGACTGTGCGACACCTGACGTTTTTGCCTCTCAAGCAATTGCAAAACATTTCCCTGGTACATAAGACTTTCGGAATGCTCGCACAAATTGCTGGTGTTCTAGCTTTGGCACCGAGCCAATTTCCGTGCCTGGTTGGTTCGGACACAAACTGCGATTTGTGTTTCCTTCGCACCCCTCGCCACACCCCTCGTCATTCTTTACACCTCGCCATCCAATCCTAACCAAGGTCAAGTCATCAACTGCAAAACAATTGATCTACGTGAGACCCTGGTTTTAACCGAAAGGATAACCTCGTTCGGCGAAGGCGGGGTACACGAATGATGGAAGGAAAGCACGTTACACGATGCCCCACGGTGGGGCATTCGTGCGGCTGGCGACCGTAGTAGACTTTCCTGGGGGCATGCCGTAGTCCCCTCACAGTAGACAGGGCACCGCTCCAATGGCGATTGTCGTACCCAGTCACATCTGTGACGTAAAAGCTGACGCAGTCCCAGAGCACAGTAAGGGTACTCTATCCATAATTCAGAGCGCTCCGAGCGAGCAGCACAAGCAGCGCTAAGAGCGTGGAACATCCTTTTGAACAAGGCGATGGTCGCCCAACAGCGACAGTAATCATTGTTGCGACCATCGCCATTGACCTACGAAGCAGACTGACGAAGACTGCCTGAAGAACGCACGTTCCACAGCTTATGCTTGTTGGTCGCCCCACCCATTGAACCTCGCAGATAAGACAAGAAGTGGCGACTTCAGGGAAAACATGCGAAATGAAACCAGGTGTTGTCGTGAGTGACGTGCTGCGACCCAATTTGCAGCACGGTGTTTGACGAAGCAGGCGCTTTCGTGTATCATCGCGACTCCGTATTTCTAGGCGACCAAGTGTTTCCAACTTGGGATATGGGGTTTTGCGTGTTACCTGACGAAAACCATTGACGAGACAAATGTTCGACCAGAGGGCCGACGGGACACTTGTTCACAAGGATGTTCCACGCTCTAACGAACGCCCGAACCCCAAAGCAGCCCGCGATGGACGGTCCAGCCGTGCGGTTCTCTTGATTGCCGGCATCAGGCTGATCAAGATTCTGTTCACCAGGTGTACGTACAAAATTCCATAACTTTCTAGGATAGCGCGTGCTAGCCCCTACATCATTGTTTTTCCAGATACGACATCCAAATTTGACGTTACATCAACGGATCCAGCAGAGGTAATCATGAAGACCTAATGGTGTCTGGCTTCCACACAAAGCCGGCTTTCCAAGTGGCCTTAACTACAGATGCACTACAAATACCGTGACATCGCCACCGTGAGATTGCCGCCACATGGAGCTAAAATGGCGGCGAAAGCAAATGCGAGGGAAAATGTCAAGGTGGAGGTGCACGAGTTGATCTCCAGCTTGCGTAACTTGCAAAGCGGTGAGCATCAGGCGCACATGAAGGACAATCGGGTAGGAAAGAATTCTGCCAAGTTGGTTACACTGCTAACGCGGACAATTTCGCAGAGCTAGGGTGTCCTCAAGTTCACGAGACGACCTCAGGCTTCCATACATTCCTTTGGTGGGTTGGTGGGTAAAGGGAGCCCAACGACGAATCGTATTGGATTGTAGGAGTTCGCACGATATCGTGGGTGCTTTGTGATGTCAACCCAGCATGACATTTGTCCACAGTTGTTCTCTCCTTAGGACTGGGCCCAATCGACTTTGATCGGATCTGATCGGATCGGATTGCTTGTGATCGTTTTTCTCGCGCCGCCCGATCAGAGATGACTTTCCTCGAATGTTTCATGCTCTTGCATGAAAACTGTCAGCCCATTACCTGGTAGTTGCATCCCAACTTTAGCGATACGGACGAATCTCAGTATCGTGGTAATGTCGCCAACATCATGTCCCAACACTCAGTTCTCGCCGATCTGGGTGTATTCGCAAGGATTTTCGAGACCTCATGGCGAGTTGTGTTACATTTCGTGTAAATCGCCCAGGTCGCTGATCACATGCAATCAAGTGATTGGGGCTGATTGTGTCTGATCGGGTCTGATCGGGCGGTTTGAGGCGGTTGATTGAGTTGGGGCGATCAGCTGATCGGAATCAGCTGATTGCCCCTGATTGCCTGAAATCTGCTTCCCACCTTCCTCGAAGTTCTTGATCGCCTCTGATCGCGCCGATCAAAGTCGATTGGGTCCACGTCCTTATCACCCTTTCTTAGTTCCACCATTCCTAACTTCCTCTAGGTGCCCCTTCTCTTAAAGCTGCAGTCTACATACTAGAAGGTATTTTTTGGGGGCATTTTGGGTGCACACCCTAGGACAGATGCTGATTGGGGAACGAAACTACCATTTTCCAGAAATGAGGGAGCGAATGTTTCAAACAGAACTGGCGAATCCCACCAGTTTCGTGAAAGGTTTGGTTGGGGGGTAATATTTCGGGAGGAGAGGGTTGTGTTGGCGATTTCGCCACGACCTGCAACCAATCGAGGTTGGGGAGGAGATAGGCGCGAAAACTGTAAGCCAATCCTGTGTCAGAACATTATAGCTAATGCTTTTGTGTAGGTTATAGTGGGGTATCCCATAGGGGGTACAACCCAATTAGGGTTAGTACTTGTACCCACTTCGCTCATAGTTTTTTCATTCTCGTTCTCAATTTCACATGGAATCAGAGCAGGTCCCCTCCTAGGGACTGTTTCTTGGGCCCACCGAAGCGCGCCCCGAGGCGCGCGTTTTTTTTTTTAGCGACCCGTAGTGTCGCCCTCCCCCCCTCCCAGCGGCCCGTCGCGCCGCCTTTCGGTCGCGGCCCCGCCGCCCTACTCTAGCGGCCCCGCCGCCCTACGTCGCGGCCCCGCCGCCCTACCCTTCGACGGCGCCGCCGCCCTAAGTCGCGGCCCCGCCGCCCTACTTCGACGGCCCCGCCACCCTACGTCGCGGCCCTGCCGACCTACCCTACGTCGCGGCCCCGCCGCCCTACCCTTCGACGGCGCCGCCGCCCTACGTCGCGGCCCCGCCGCCCTACTTCGACAGCCCCACCGCCCTACGTCGCGGCCTCGCCGCCCTACTTTGACGGCCCCGCCGCCCTACCCTACGTCGCGGCCCCGCCGCCCTACCCTTCGACGGAGCCGCCGCCCTACGTGACGGCCCCGCCGCCCTACGTCGAGGCCCCGCCGCCCTACCCTACTTCGCGGCCCCGCCGCCCTACGTTGCGGCCCCGCCGTCCTACCCTACATCGACGGCCCCGCCGCCCTACTCAGCGGCCCGCCAGCCGCCCTACCCGCGGCCCACCCGCCGCCCGACCGCCGGGTCGCCCAGCCGCTGAGCCGCCGAGCCGCCCAGCACCCGACCGCCGAGCCGCCGAGCAGCCGAGCCGCCGAGCCGCCCAGCAGCCGAGCAGCCGAGCCGCCCCGCAGCCGAGCCGCCCAGCAGCCGAGCAGCCGAGCCGCCGAGCAGCCGAACCGCCCCGCAGCCGAGCCGCCGGCCGCTGAGCTGCCCTACTTCCATACGGCCCGTTCTACCCACCCTGGTGAGCACAGAGCCTTCTTTTTCACTGCGCTGCCCTCACCCTACTGCTTGCACTGCTAGGCGTCTGTCGTCATGGCTACCCCCAGTGTCCTCGCTTTTGACGCTAAGGGTCGGGCCATTGACTTTGAGGTCTGGGTAGATGAGCTCCAGCTGTTCTTACAGTGCAATAGGGCAGATGGCCTCTCTCTCTTTGACCTTACCTCTGGCGCTTCCCCTGCCCCTGCTGCTGATGCTGACCCTACTGTTCGCTCCCAGTGGGCTACGCGCGATGCTGCTGCACGTCTTGCTGTGCGTCGCCACCTCCCTA